TGCTTCAAGCACCTCCGTCCACGCACTTACCCTGGACAAATGAAACAGCAATCAGGAGCATAGCAAGCCATCCAACGAAGATAACATCCATTGACCAAGCAGTGGGGCTCACTGGCGTGGGCACAAGTATCGCAGAAAAGGTATGCACCACGCCCTACCTACCCCGCCCCTAGCGAGGAGTAAATGCTATCTGATTCCTTTCACCCCTATTGCGCGCACGCTCCTGATCCCCACTCCCCCACCTCTATCTTAGATTGAGGAGTTCATTGCTACAGGGTGTGTTGCCAAGATTGCTGCACAAACTACGGAGGATCTTGCCGTCACCCGCCTGTTCCAAGGCATCTATGGTGTGGGGCCGCAGACTGCGTACAGCTGGTACGTGCGTGGCTTGAGAACACTTGCTGATGTACGCAACCGAGTGGGTGGTATCGTGCTCTCGAGTGCGCAAGAGCTTGGCGTGAAATATTATGGTGATCTACAACGACGTATGCCGCGGGGCGAGGCTGCCGAAATCTTTGAACGGATCAAGGCAGTAGGCGAGTCCCCTGTCTGTGCAATATATCGACTTGGTTCTCAACCGCTTCTACAATGCTCCCAGCCCTAGAACTTGACCCCAAACTTGATATCGAAATCATGGGTAGCTTTCGGCGGTGAGCGATTGCTGGGCCAGACTGATGGATAACCGAGTAGTGACCGAGTATGCAGGGGCAAACCAACCTGCGGTGACATTGACATCCTGATCACCAAGTCCACGACCGACGGAGGGTCTCACCGAGGCAAGCAGCTGCGTTCGGCCTGTCCCGGCTGCTAATCTTTCCCCTATGACCTAGGGTTTCTGCGGAGGTTTATTCCAGTGCTGCGTGCGCGCAACCTTGTGACGCATGACCTCGCCTTTCCTAATGACGAAAATGAACTAGAGGCCAAGTACATGGGGTTGTGTCAGCTGCACAGCGATACCCTCATGCGCCGCATCGGTGAGAACTTGATTCGCGCCACCATAGCCCCCTGGATCTAATATTTTTCTCTTATTCAAAAATTTAGACATTCTGACTGTTCCGTGCGAACAATGGGGGGCATCTCTGTTATACTTTGTACGTCCAGTTGGTTGATATAACGTCTTGCCGCTAACCTACCATCTTCTGAACCCCACTCGTGCAAACGTACCACCACAGACGGGAGACGACCTGGTATGTGTCTGCCCACTCGACCACCATTGACAGCTGTCCAACTACGGGTATTCAGTTCAACAGGAGCATGCGATTGCTGGCACGGAAGAAGGGGATGTCGCTTAACCAACGAGGCTTATTCAAGGGTGTCATCCGCGACCCCAAAACACAAAAAAAGCATAGCGAAGGTGAGTCTGGGATTTGGGAGGACAACAGATTGCTGAGCTCCACTCTTGTCGCAGGTGTTTTGGTCGCGTCGCGTACAGAGCGAGAGATATTTGATCATCTAGGAGTGGTAGGCACTCGTTTATTCTTCGCGCAGCCCGCCTTTGATAACATTCTCCTGTTTCGTAACCGCCACCTCTAACGTGGGACGCACATGTTGTCTATTCTCATAACACAGACTTGGCGGGAACCTCACGAAAGGGTCATCAGTGCATAACGTCCACCGGCACGTAGCCTATACCATTTCGCGTTGAACTTCCCGCGTACTCGTCTGACATATGCTGATGGCACGCCATTTATTTGAATTATGGATTAATTTCATCGTCTTGTCGCCCATCTCCCTCATGTCATTTGTCTCTCGCTTGTCTTAGGGACATCGACCCGAGCCACCCTAGCCCTGGACTCCCCACAGCATTCGATCGATCGACCCTAGAACGGGCTGCCTCTGCGCCTACATCAAAAGCTTGTTCGCCGATAACCCGTGCGCTGGAGATTTTCTCATTCTTACTCGCCGTGCTCATTGACATGCTGCAAATCCGTGCCTTGTCCTCATGCGACAAACTCGTGACTGGCGTTCGTGCAGTGGTGCTTAGATAAATTCATTGGTAACTATGGAGCAGACACAACAGGATTCTGCATGTTACAACAACGTGTCTTTGAATGACGTGGGCGATTTCCCTCGCCCCTCCTTCGGCTCGGGTTCGGGTTGTTTGACCACTCCTAACATCTGTTCCCGTCGCCTTCTCATCTGGAGTTCATATGACTTGCACACCCACGTCACAAACGCAATGTCTGCCCGGCGGTGGGGGTGCCGCGCGACGAGCCTATGGTGCAACAGTGCGAGGTCCGTGAATAGCAAGTGTGGTGCGACCCCCGGTTCCGTAATCTGTTCTGGCGTGGTGAATCGTACCAGCAGTCCGGTTCGTGGCGAGGGTGCGGTCAACAGGCCGGAAAGAGTACAACTCGGATTTGCTAGTGGCGCGTGCTCCAAGGAGGGGCGGTGCGAGGGAGAAGCAAGGTGATCCGGCTGCTTGAGATTGGTGGGTGGGTATTTGGTAACGAAATCGCGGAGGAGAGCGAGAGCGGCGTCGATTTCGTCGCATCTTGTGCACATGTTAGCGAAAGCGGCAAGCGTAAGGAGATGAGGACTCACAGACTATGAACTTTGATTATCGCGGCCCAGATCCGCTCTATTCCTCGAGGTGTTACCTCAGCAGTTGCTTGGTCAATATAACCATTGTCCATTTGTTCAACCCATTCCAACCAAGCCCGCCAGACTCTCTTTGCCTCATCCAGTGCAAGCCTTCTCTCTGGCTTGGCCGCGCACGCCAGTCGTTCCAGAAGAGCGAGGAATGAATACATGTTGGGGTCGGGCATCCTAGGTTGTCCGTATATTGTCCGGTGTGTATCTAGGGCTTGTTGAAGCGGCGCATGAGAGAGATAAACACCGAGATAGGCATTGAGGATTCGTGCACTGATGGGGATGTGAGTAAATACCGGGTCGGGGGTTCCAGATCGCTTTGATATTATACGCGAAAAAAGGGCGTCTGCTTCAAACAATATGTCGGAAGCTGATTGGGGCATGGGGTGGGGTTGTTGAGTCGAATGAGCAAGGGATTCAGTGCCAGTATCAGCCGCTTCTTGTTCCCCTGTGTGTGTCCCCCGCACTACCCCTCTCTTGAGCGGAGGTCGAAATGCTGAATATGTCTGAAACGCGCACACCATGACTTCTTCGTCCAAAACAGCCTCGGACTCTCCTGGGAGCTCCACCTGCCGCAGAACATGGGTCTGTGCTCTTATGACCTCTGTTAAGATCCAACGCGCCCGTCCTAGTTCGCCCGCCCGCTTGGCACAATGCATCAACGCTGTCATTGTGGCCCTGTCGGGTCCAATCTCGCCAATTACTGCACCCGCGACAGGAATCCCGTCACGCTGTACGAGCTCCTTGGCGAGCCGGAAGGCGTCACCCGCAAATCTGGATCCAGCGCGGGCGCAAGCTCGAACAGCCCCGTTGTAGCAGGCAATAAGAGAACGAGTATCCAACTTGGGCTGCAGAAATTCGGGCTTGCCTTGAATGAGCCCGTCCCGAACCTCTTTCAATAGCTCTAGTGCACGAAGAGGGTTGACGTGATGCCCACGAGCACAAGCCGAGATCACGAGGCTGTAGGTTTCAAGTGACGGAGTTGGGTGTGCGATGTAGCGCATGTGAGTGAACAAGTCATGAACCGCAGCTATGGCGGCGGAAGGATTGGTGTCAGATAGCAGGCTAGATTCTCGAGATAGATCCAGGTAGGCTTTGATAACATGGGCATAACCAGCTTGAGACGGTGGATTTCCTTGAGCCTCGAGTTTATGAATGAGATTCTGAGTGTCCTTTACGTGGTCAACCGATGGTTCTTGCGAGTGTAGATGAACGTTGATCAAAAGTGATAAACGTTCCGGCGTTAGGGGGTATCCCACTGTGACCAAGCTCAATTTTCGTCTATTACACCAAAGGACACTTACTTGCTATGAGCTTGTCGCCAAGGACTGTAAAGTTTTCTACCGATAACGAGTCGTGCTCTAGTAGACGTTGGTCCAAGCCCTCGGGTAGTTGCACACTGCATTTCTATCACCGAAATATTAGCTACGAGTGCCAAACCGATCACCTCACACACCGTCATAAGTTCGAGCGTTTTGAGTGCATACTCAACGTCCCTGGCATCAAGCTAAACGCTAATCAGTCCTGCGACATGTATTACCCTAATGCACGTACAGCAGCATTGAGGATGATTTCCCACTCTGAATCCAACACGAGTCCTAGTTTTGGGAGATTGGTTTCGTCTGCGATGAATGCCAAAGCTCGTTGCACGTGGTCAATTACCGCCTTGTGGGTAGGTTCCCCCAAGTCGAACCGCTCTTGTAACGCGTGCAGCGTCTCGCCAGGGGAAGCCGGTGTGGATACCAAGGGTTGAGATGGGAAGGGTGAGGCGAAGAGGTCCTCATAAAGTGCTCGAAGCTGTTCTTCCGAGTATTGCGGGTCCTGGTTCTAAAGATGTTAATGAGGGCTTTGAGGCAGCTGCATATTTACATTATTGGTAAATTCTCCAACATCTTGCTGAATCGCCACCGACGTGCTCATAACCCGGCGTGATGAATATTCGGCGTGGAGTAATGTTGCACACTTGGTATGAAGATTGTTTGTAAATGATACACGTCTCGGACATCTGGAGCACCGAGTAGCAGCAAATGTTGACGTATGGGCAACAATTATGCGGCATGCCCTGCATAGTGTACGGATGGCCGTAAAATTCATAAGTACTCCGAGTTGATGCGCAAGCCGAGGATGTGAAAAAGGACAAACTGAAGCTTAGTCACGGGGACGTTCAGGGTTCAGCTCAAGCGCCAACTCCGTGCGGTTTTATGCTCAATAGGCACTTGTAAATACCCATGAAAGGGTCAAAAATTGCTTGCACACTATTAGACGATTAAATTCTAAAATAACTCCAAGTTATTAATTGAAAATGGGCTATATGCGCATAGAAGAAACCGCAAAGGGACGGGGAGCACGGGGACGACTGGCGGAGAAAGCTAGCAGGGTGATGACTAGCATGCGGACCACCTGAACAAGCCCGGATGGTCTAGTGGTATGATTCGCCCTTAGGGACCGAAATGGACTCTGCGTTTAAAGAGCTGGGCGAGGTCCCCGGTTCAATCCCGGGTTCGGGCCTTCCTTTTTGGGCGATTTTAGCAACCCTAACCCTCTTTTTCCGGGCTGAAATCGCTTAGATTCACTTGAATCTCAATTTTGAGTCTTTTAGGTAAATATCCAGGTTGGCACATTGAAATCTGGATCCAAAGGAACCTTCAAGACCCAAAATGGCTGTGTCTGTTGCCTGGTGGTTGTCCGATGTTTTCCCTGCATCCACCTGCTGTAGAATGTGGGGGGGGGGGGCCTAAGCGCCAGCAGCTTGATCCACGTGCCATCAGTCACGTGCATAGCCACCTCCTTATCCGCGAGTTATGAGCTCAGGAGACCGGGAGATTGCTTTAGATCCTTACCCGAAAGGCTCCCGTACACACATGTCTCGAAAGGCAAAGGGAAAACGGCGAGAACAAGATATTCCTGAGGATCAAGTCGCGTTGATCTCTGACGACGCGGACGAACATGAGGACGAGAACGAAGGTTCCTCGCGGCCAAGGGTAAGCAGGTATTTCCCTCAGTTTCCGTAAACTAACTTGAACTAGAACGATCCTCCCAAGCCTCCCTTGGGCAAAGACAAAAGCAGGACCATACCTTTTCGGCCACCAGGTGGGCTGGTCCGTATGTGTTACTATACTTTTTTATCAATATTTTACAGACTCATTTCAATCGAAATTCCCCGCAAACGTCGTGCGAAACCAAAAGTACACGGTCTTCTCCTTCCTACCACTCGTCATCTACGCCCAGTTCAAGTTCTTCTTCAACCTCTACTTTCTCCTGGTCGCCCTCTCGCAGTTCATTCCTGCGCTCAAAATCGGATTTATTGCGACCTATGTGGCTCCGCTCGCGTTTGTTCTAGCCGTTACGATGGGCAAGGAAGCTTGGGACGATGTGCTTCGGAACCGGAGGGACGGAGAAGCTAATGCTCAACGATACCTCATTCTCGAACCCGACTCGTCGTCTCCGTCCCCTACGACGCCGGGCTTTCCCCCTACTCGCGCAACTCCATCCTCTCAGCTCAAAGTCGGCGACTTGGTCCAGCTTACCCAGAACCAGCGTGTACCCGCCGACATGCTACTCCTACGAACCTCGGACCCCTCTGGCACTTGCTTCGTGCGGACTGATCAACTAGACGGTGAGACAGACTGGAAGCTCCGAGTGGCTGTTCCTGCCTGCCAAGCATTGCCAGACGATTGGTCGCTGCTAAATGTATCGGCCGAGGTATATGGTACGTAGCCACCAAATACCCTCGAGCCTGAATATCTCACTTGTTTGATAGCCGATGCACCTATCAAAGACATACATACGTTTATCGGAACGTTTACTCTTCACTCTGCGTCTGACTCGGACCCCGAACAACAGCAACACTCTCAGGTGACACCTCTCACAGCCGAAAATCTCTTGTGGGCGAATACCGTCCTTGCTGCGGGAACAGCTATTGGCCTTGTCGTGTATACGGGGAAGGAGACTCGTGCAGTCATGAATACCTCGCACCCAGAGACAAAAGTGGGGCTCTTGGATTTGGAAATCAACAGAGTGGCCAAGGTCAGGGTCACCAGTGCCACCTGATCTGCAAACTAACAACGACCAAAGATTTTGTGTGCAGTTACATTCGCACTCTCTGTTTTGCTGGTTGCGCTGAACGGCTTCCGAGGGCAGTGGTACATTTACGTATTCCGATTTTTAATCCTGTTCTCCAGCATCATCCCCATCAGGTTGGTACCCACTTTCTCTGGCTTATACGTCCTCTCAAGTGGTCAGTTTGCGAGTCAATTTAGATATGGGCAAGACTGTCTATGCTCGCCAAATCGAATCCGATCATGAAATACCAGGAACAATCGTTCGAACAAGCACTCTACCCGAGGAACTCGGACGTATCGAATATCTGTTGAGCGACAAGACGGGAACTCTCACCCAAAACGGTTCGTCTCTCGTTTCATCCGTCATATTATATTGACTGTGGGCAGAGATGGAAATGCGTAAACTACACATGGGCACGATATCCTATGGCGCGGACGCCATGGATGAAGTCGCACACCAACTAGTAGTGGCTTTTGGCTCTGAACACTCTAGTGGGATGAAGCGCCAAGGTTCTTTAGCCACTGGCGCGCAACTTGCCTCTCGGGGGAAACGCGACATGTCTTCCAGGGTTCGGGACGTAGTTCTTGCCTTGGCTCTCTGCCACAATGTCAGTGGATCGTTCGATTTCTTTCAAAGGCTGACCCGTGCTATAGGTTACTCCCGTAACCAACGACGATGGAACTGTGACATACCAAGCTTCATCCCCCGACGAGGTTGCAATTGTCAAATGGACTGAATCCGTCGGACTCACTCTAACCTCCCGTACACGGACACAAATCGAACTGCAAGCCCCTGACGGAACTACCCTGGTCTACAACGTCCTCGCTCTCTTTCCATTCACGTCAGAATCCAAGCGCATGGGCATTGTTGTCCAGAGTGCAGAGACGCACGAAATCATGTTTGTCCAAAAGGGGGCCGACACGGTCATGGCACGACTCGTTCAACGTTCTGATTGGCTCGAGGAAGAAACGGCGAACATGGCCCGGGAAGGACTTCGTACACTGGTATGTGCCCGCAGGAGGCTGTCAGCTGCAGAGTGGTCGGCGTTCGAAGCCGCACACAAAGCGGCAAGTGTGCGTCTCGAAGGCCGCGCAGAAGCGATGGCCGAGGTTGTTGGAAACCACCTGGAACGTGGACTCGAGTTGCTCGGGTTGACAGGGGTAGAAGACAAACTTCAGGAGGATGTGAGGGCGACAATCGAGCTGCTACGGAACGCTGGGATCCGGATTTGGATGTTGACTGGAGATAAAGTGGAGACCGCGACTTGCATTGCGATCTCAACAAAGCTGGTGGCGCGGAATCAGTATATTCACCAAGTCGCCAAGCGTAAGTGATTTGATTTTGATGGTCGAGATACCGCTGATGCGCAAATAGTGAAGAGTACGGACCAAGCCAGAGACCAGCTAGACTTTCTGCAATCAAAGTTAGACTGCTGCTTAGTGATCGACGGGGAATCTCTGCAGGTTGGTTCCTTTTTCCCCTCTTCGGCTTAACAAACTCAAACCTTGTTTCCAGCTGTGTCTGGAACATTTTGAGAACGAGTTCGTCGAGGTTGCGACGAAGCTGTCTGCTGTCGTTGCCTGTCGGTGCTCTCCTACCCAAAAGGCAGATGTAGCACGCCTTATTCGAAGATACACACGTAGAAGAGTGTGTTGCATTGGAGACGGGGGGAACGACGTAAGTATGATTCAGGCAGCAGACGTCGGTGAGTTTCCGTCTCACTTAATATCACTATTTCAACCACGCGCCTATGGCCTCGACTGGAGTCCGTTATCGATGAGAACTGTCGAGAAATTTTGCTGACTCGTCTCCGTACATCCCGCCTATCGAATCTCGCCTTCTACCGCATCACTCGGTCTTCCCCCATTGTCTGCTTTGGGCCGCCCAACCCCGCGCTACGCAATGCTTGACCCCGCGCCTACGCTTGACCCCACACTTCGAATTTTCGTTCTCCATCAATCGCGCGGCGGCCTCGTTTCGCCCGGATCGCCCCACCACGCTCCGGCGACTTAATATGGCAACTTGATCGTTTTCCATCCGATCATCGGGGCAGGTGTCGGCATCGTTGGCAAAGAGGGCAAACAGGCCTCGCTCGCTGCCGACTTTTCGATCACGCAGTTCAGTCACTTGACCAAGTTGCTCGTCTGGCATGGTCGCAATTCGTACAAGCGCTCGGCCAAGCTGGCCCAGTTTGTTATTCACCGCGGCCTCATTATTTCGGTGATGCAGGCCGTCTTTTCGGCAATTTTCTACTTTGCACCGATTGCGCTCTACCAGGGATGGCTCATGGTTGGCTATGCGACTATCTACACCATGGCTCCTGTTTTTTCGCTTGTCCTAGACCGAGACGTCAATGAAAGCTTGGCGCTTCTTTACCCGGAACTGTACAAGGAATTAACCAAGGTATGTGTGCAACAGTATGGCCCAGTTTGTACGTACCGAGCCCGCGCATAGGGCCGATCCTTGTCGTTCAAGACGTTTTTTACATGGTGTGTCATTAGCGTGTACCAGGGTGAGTCTGGACCAATACTCGACGCGCCACTGCCGTTATCCCGCTTACTGACGTGATCCTACCCGGTACAGGGGGTGCCATCATGACCATGTCATTGCTGCTATTCGAGAACGAGTTTCTAAATATCGTCGCTATCTCGTTTACGGCCCTGATTTTGAACGAGCTCATCATGGTGGCGTTGGAAATCACGACGTGGTGAGTGGTCATTCGCCATCGGTGGCAGCTGCAACGCGTTCTTACGCTCGACCCCGCACAGGCATCTCTACATGGTGATTTCGGAGGTGGTTACCCTGTTCTTCTACGTGATTAGCATTGCGTTCCTACCCGAGTATTTTGGTGCGTGTCCTGATCGCCGTGACAGTGCCGAAATGAGCGATTCTAACGTGCGTGCGCGCTTGCTGTCAGACCTGTCGTTTGTGCTCTCGTGGCGGTTCGCATGGAAAGTTGCGTTGATTGTATGCGTTAGCTCGGTGCCTCTGTGGTTGATCAAAACCGTCCGAAGCCGAGTACGCCCTGCGACATATAGCAAACTGACCTAGGCCACCCAGACCTGTAATTTATTTCTCGGGTCCCGTTGTCCCGTCCAGAAGCGGCAAAAGAGAAAAAAGAAATTCAACTATTTTCATTTCAATAATCCTAAACATTCACATTTGAAGACCCGAGACGAGCAACTGGGCCAGTTGTTATAAATACTAAAATTCGATGGCAGGGAACCATTGTGTCGGCTGCGTGAACGTGTTGAACGCGAGAAAGCGAGGAGCCGAATCGAGTCGATACCGCAAGTGTGGCATAGCCGAGAGCAAAACATGTTGGGGCACACGAGCGCCAAAGAAGGAACAAGGGAACACAACAACACAAAAGGGCAGTTACACAGAGGAAGGAAACGATGTCCGCAGACGGAGAGAGATCTAGTAGAAACAAGAAATATTTATCC